GCGCAACAGGTTGTTAAAAACATTGAACCATCCAGTGTTAGGGTTTGTACGAAATATTAAACCACCCAGTGTTAGAGTTTTCGAAGACATTTAACCATCCAGTGTTAGTGTTTGTTGAAGACATAGAACAATTCTTTGTTAGGGTTTGTTCAAAGTATTGAAGCATTGAGCGTTAGGGTTTGTTCAACACATTTAACCATTCAAGATTGTGAACATTGAACCATTTAGTGTTAAGGTTTATGAATATTGTACCATCTAGTTTCAGTGTTTGTGAACATGGAACATTAAACGATCCAGTGTAAGTGTGTGTGAACATTGAATCACCCTGTGTTATGGTTTGTTGAAGACATTGAATCATCCAGTAATAGGATTTGTTGAAGACATTGAATCATCCAGTAACAGAATTTGTTGAGAACATTGAACCATCCACTGTTATGGTTTGTTAACAATATTCAACTAATCACTGTTAGGGTTTGTTGAAGAAATTGAATCACACAGTGTTAGTGTTTGTTGAAAATACTGAACCATCCAATATTAGGGTTTGTTAACATTTAACCATCCAATGGTAGGTTTGTTGATAACAATAAACAATTCAGTGTTAGAGTTTGTTGAAAACATTGAACTATCGAGTGTTATGGTTTGTTAAAACATTAAACCATCTAGTGTTAGGGTTTGTTGAGAACAGTGAACCATCCAGTACTTGGGTTTGTTCGATACATTAAGAAATTCAGTGTTAGGTTTTTTTAAAACATTGAACTATCCAGTATTATGGTTTGTTGAGAACATTTAACTATACAGAGTCATGGTTTGTTGAAGACACTGAAACAGCTAATATTAGGGGTTGTTGAAAACATGAACATCCAGTGTTAAGGTTTGCTGAAAACAATGACACTTCCAGTATTATGGTTTGTTTTCGATATTCAACAAATCATTGTTAAGACATGGAAGTATCCAGTATTACGGTTTGTTTTAAGACTTTGAACCACCCACTGTTAGGTTTGTCGAAAACATTGAACTACCGAGTGTTAGTGTTTGTTGAAAACATTAAACCATTTAGTGTTAGGGTTTGTTGAAAAAATTTAAACGTCTAGTGTTAGTGTTTGTTTTAAAACTTTGAAACACCCACTGTTAGGTTTGTTGAAAACTTTGAAACACCCACTGTTAGGTTTGTTGAAAACATTGAACCATCCACTGCTAGGGTTTGTTGAAAACATTGAACCATCCAGCGTTTGTGTTTGTTGAGGTAATTGAACCATCCAATGTTAGGGTTTGTTGAAAACATTAAACCATCTTGTGTTAGGGGTTGTTGAAAAAATTTAAACGCCCAGTTTTTAGTGTTTGTTGGAAATATTAAACCATCCAGTGTGAAGGTTTTTTTGAAAATACTGAACCATCCAGTGTTAAGGTTTCTTCAAAACATTGAACCATCCAATGTTGGTTTTTTTTTGCGAACTTTAAAACATCCAGTGTTAGGGTTCGTTGAAAACATCAAAACATTTAGTGTTAGGGTTGAAAAAATTTAAACGTCTAGTGTTAGTGTTTGTTTTAAAACTTTGAAACACCCACTGTTAGATTTGTTGAAAATATTGAACCATCCACTGCTAGGGTTTGTTGAAAACATTGAACCATCCAGCGTTTGTGTTTGTTGAGGTAATTGAACCATCCAGTGTTAGGGTTTGTTGAAAACATTAAACCATCTTGTGTGAAGGTTTTTTTTTGAAAATACTGAACCATCCAGTGTTAAGGTTTCTTCAAAACATTGAATCATCCAATGTTTGGATTTTTTTGAGAACTTTAAAACATCCAGTGTTAGGGTTTGTTGAAAATGTTCAACCATCCAGATTCGAAATATTTCGAAATATTAGACCCTACATATCTGCGCGCTCGAATACTTGTAAGGATGCACTTGTTACAACAGCGGAAGTCACGCAACGCTGTGAACCTGCTCGCTGGAGTTTCTCGAAGGATCATAAAGGCCCGAGTGCATTCGAGACGTCCTCTTTTTAGAATTAAGCCTGGCGAAAAAAACCAACGGGATCGGAGATTGAAGAGATAGATAATTGAGTCGAGCGAACAGTAGGCACGGTAAGTAAAGTGTGTGAATCACTGTGATTTATAGCGTGTGTTATAAAGGTTGTTAAATTTAAAGTGACTGTGGAAATTCTGTGTATTACTAAAAGTTGTATCAAGAAAGAATAAACTGGTTTAATCAAGACTTCTATGGCTGAAGTTCCTCGGAAAGAATTTCCACCGTAAATTAACAAACAAGCAAATATGTAACAAACTGGTGTCAGAGAGTGGGACGAGGAAAAAAAATGGGTAAACAAGAAGTGGAAAATCAAACTACAGCTTAGCAGATTTGATGGCAGCAATACAAAAACAGCAAAGAAACAAGAAGAACAAGAAAAGAAACAAGAAGAACGAGAAAAGAAACAAGAAGAGAGATTACAGCAGTTGTTGGAGAAAAAGAAAAGAAAAAGAAGAACGAAAAAAGAAAGAAGAAGAGGGACAACAGCAGTGGCAAGAATACCTGCAACAGTGGCAGCTCGAACAGCAAACTAAAAAAGAGAGATTACAGCAGTTGTTGGAGGAAAAAGAAACGAAACAAGAAAAACGAGAAAAGAAACAAGAAGAGACGCAACAGCAGTGGCAAGAAAACCTGCAACAGTGACAGCTCAAACAGCAAAATAAACGAAAGAGACTACAGCAGTGGTTGGAGGAGAAATAAAATAAACAAGATGAAAGTCTCCAACAGTTGAGAGAAAGCCAGCATACAATCATCAGGATTCAAGGCCAGAAAAGGGCAGCTTTCAGAGAGGTTTGAGGGACTTTGCTGGCACTGTA